ATCAGCAGTTTCTGAAATACTCAGACCAGCCCCTCTGGCACCAACAAACATGCCACGTTCAAAGTCACTCAAATCACCTTTCTTCCCCATACTGATGATTTGAACTGCAGGAGATTGTCTTGACCATGTCTACATGCCTAAATGCACTGAGTTGCCGCCATGTGATTGGCTGCTTAGAAATTAAGTGTTAATGAGCAGTTGGACAGGTGTACCTAATAAAGTGGCTGGTGAGTGTATATGCGTGTATGTGTGTGTGCATTTTCAAGCCATGCCAGGAGGGTGTGGGGGCATGGCATCAGAGATTGCATGAATGACTGAAGACTAAATTAGATTTTTGAAAATCCAATACCAAAAATGGCCAGAAGATGGCAAAGGTGCATCTATATCTAGTGTGAATGAGAGGTCGTGTTCGGTAAGGAAAGCACAAACTCTTATTTTTAACTTGCATGCACGAACAGTTATTGATGCTGGTACATCAGCTGTTGCCGTAGCTCCCTGCAAACGTGTAGTGTGCGGGGCTGCACCAACAGAAGCATGAAGACCAGGGTCTAACTAATGTTTGCGTAGCAGCTTTTTGCAGCTGGATGCGTAAATAAGCTTCCTGGAAGCACCGCGTGCTGGAGTTCATGACCTGCATTGTTTACACACAAGAACCGCCCCCTTCTTCTTCTGATTGGCTAATACTGTTAGTTTCAGAGCGCTCCTTTGCCACCATTGGCTGTCAAACGAAAGAGGGATTTCGAATGTCTTTTTAAAATTTATTTACAGTCAATTTATTTTCGAGTGATATTTTTTACTCATGGTTAATCACTACGAGCCAGAATACTTTAATCTCTGTATCTCATTATGTTTTTTTAAGAGTAAAAATACTCCCTTCATTGGCAAACTATCTCATTTACCAACTCAAATTAAGGGTAAATACACTTAATTTAAGAAATGTTTACTTATCTTTTTTTCCAGTGTACGAATGCTATTTAATGGACTGAGATGAATAAAGAATGAAGGAATGATTGGCGGATTGGACGGACCTCAGCGGTCGATGATGATGCTCACCTTGGATCCGGTCCAGCCCAGGAGAGCGAAGGCGAACTGACTGATGGGGGAGACCACCAGGTCCACTCTCACGGCCCTCCACCGTCTCTCTCCATCCTTCTCCGACGGACCGCCGTCCTCGCCTGCTTCCTGCAGGTCGGCGTTTCCTCCGGTGGACAGCTTGAAGATGGACAGACATCTCTCAAAGCGGTCGATGTTCGAGGCGGGGCGACCCGGACCATCCTCAGACTCCAGATAGGAATTTCTGGTAGTTTTCTGGTACAAAAGCAAACCCTGTTTATGAAAAAAAAGAGAGAAGATTAGGACGAAGTTTGGAAATCTGCAAAGATTCAGGAGAAATATGTTTTTTTTATTCAATCAGGAAGCAGAGAAGCTTCTATCTGTGTGAGATAAACATTTTATTCAGGAGGAAACATTAAACACTTTCCTGGTCACCCGGAAGGCGATTTATTATAATGTACTTTTTATAAACTTTACTCAAAAGACAATATAAAGGGAATTCTGCTATTTCTTTCTAAACACATTATGAATCCCGTAAATATATCGCTCTCTTCATGTAAAACGTATCCCAACCATTTAGAACTGAATAGCGGCGATAAAATTCATTTTTGGTTGTAAAGTTTCTGTTTCAGGGTTTTGTAGTTATGTGTGAAAATGCTGCCAGATGTCGTCATGGCTTCGACATAAAGCCGCCCTGCTGCTCCAGCACTGAAAGGCAAGAACGTTTTTTATTTTAATATAAATGTTTCACTAAAAAAACTAAAGTTAAGCTGGACTGAAAACTCTAACAATGATTAGAGACATTATATACCTTTTAACAGAAAAACATTTTCAAAATGGCCTTTTTATTTGACTCTTTATGTCTAAGATATGGTTTGATGAGCAGTAATTTTGCATTTAAGTTAAAAAAACAAAAATGTTTTTGTCTCTCAATATGTTTATCCTACGGAAGCATGTTGCCTTCACCAAAAAAAAAAAAATCTGAGAGCTTAACTCGTAATTATGAGATTTTATCTCGTAATTAGGAGATCTTATTTCCTAATTACAAGATCTTAATTTGGGTTTAGAGTGATTTTAGAAAAAAAATGCAAATAAAAAGTTAGCTATCTCTATAGTTATGCTGCTATAGCCTTAGACTGCTGGAGGACATAGGGACTCCTATTTCATCACTCTATCTCTATTCTCCCATTCTGCAGTATTTGTTAGTTAAATCTCTAACGTTCTGCTCTCTCTGCTTTTTCTCATAGTAGCTTCATCTTGTCTGTTCCTGTTTGGCTGTGACTCAATCCTGGAGGGAAATGTCTTTGTTTATAGATAATAGAGTTGGGCCTGTTTTTCAGTGTTTAGTCCTGTTTCTCTCCTAGACCTAGCTATCGGCTCAGCTTTTACTGTGACTGCACACTTGGTCTTCACTTTGACATGAAAACATGCTCATAGTTCATCCGGCTAGCATATTCTTTCCCAAACAGAGCCACCAAGGGAACTAGTCTACCGTTACCTTTTTAACATAGAAAGTATTAATAGATCAGTGCCTCTATGTTTCTTTTTCTATGTCTGCTTCTGTCTGTTTGGCATGCTCCTACCTTAATGTGGAATTTTATTCCTCACTACATGTTCTCTAAGATAGGTGGTCTTAAGTTTGTTTTGCTAAGTGATTATAAGATTCGGAGCTTGTCTGCCTGGCTGTGTGTTTCCTGGACGGGGACTTTTACAGGTGCTTTTCTCTGCTTCTGTCTCCTTGAACCCCAGTCGGCCTCAGCAGATGGCCGCTCACACTGAGCCTGGTTCTGCTGGAGGTTTCTTCCTGTTAAAAGGGAGTTTTTCCTCTCCACTGTCGCTACCAGCATGCTTAGTGTGAGGGATTGAATTAGAGTCAATG